ACAGCCCAAACCGCTCTCCACCGAATCCTGAAGGCGAGCGAGCGACAACACATCTGGTGAAAAACGGGCTGGTCCCATAACACGGGTTCCCCACGCTCTGTAGCCAAAGCCAGACTAGTGTAAAACTGCATAGTTTCGCATCTGTATGTTTCATGCCCAACTCGATCCACATTGTCTATGTGGACGTCCCAACATTTTTGATGGGATTCCCTAGCGGAAAATAGAACTTGGCCTTTTCCCACAGACAGACAGCAGCAGCTTGAGTGGGAGAAGTCCCTGCCTTGGGTCATTTTTGGTTTTGTATCTGCTATAAACCACAGTCATTTCCTCTTATTGTTGATGCGTCTGAACGACAGTTTCATTCAGAACCTCATGGCAAACACCTTATTTTCCTAGCGTCTGCAGTGCCTCATTTTCCATAACGAAAAAAAAATAGCAGTCCAATCTTTGGGAACTCTTCTAGCTTGCTTGAATGACTGGCTACACTGGTTTGGACGAACACAGCACTTCCTAGCTAGTTGACCTGACACATTGCATTGCCACTTTGCATCAATTAGGTCCTGGTGTGAATGCCGCGCACAACATTTTGCAGCGTCTCTTTCACCGTAAAGTGGAAGTAACGACACACCCTTCCAGGCAGGTTCTCCACCCACAAACGTACAGCCATCGTCTTATAGTCTAGTCGCTTATCCACAGGTTTCTTCCCAAGGGAGCTATTGACTTTTTAATTTTTGTTTCTTTCGAAATAAGTTCCATTGTTCCCAGTCATTGTTCCCACTGCCAAGAACTGCCCTAGTGAGGTGTATGGGACGTATTGTTCGAGGTGTTCCTTTGGTTCTCAGTCTGAAACTAGATGGGCAGGTCCCTGGAGGAGATCAACTAACTCACACAAACAAGTTTCTTTACTCACCATCAGATTATCTTGGAAAGTGTTAGAATTGATAATGCAAGTGGTTAGCTCTGTTAAAAGGGCGGGATGCCTATAGAAATGAATGATGTAATATAAGAGGATTCCTGAGCTTCATTGTCTTGTGTCTTCTTTGTGATTGATAGAATGAAACTCGTCAAAGTCGTTTATTTCATAGACGACGTTTCGGGCTTTAAGCCCTTCTTCAGGTCTACAACATCACATTCAAAGCCTACACCAACATCATCTAACTTTACAAACATAGGCAAGAAATTCAAAGGGGAAACAATCAACAAATAACTGACCGGCTTCCTACGGGAGGAGGGTCGGTGGGTGGGAGGGGATCCGGGAGTATGCTGCAAGATGGTCTCTGATGATGTGACAAACAGTAATACGCAACAATGACTCACCGTCCCAGCTGTCCTTTCCTTTAGAAATGGCACAGCTAGTTTGGTGAAGCAGTGGTAAGATGGATGTTGATACACTGCTATTTGTCATATGTCACGTATCACCGTTATGTCACATCATTGTGCAGCAATGATTTCCATTGTCCTTCTTAGCTCCTCCCTGTTGTTGATCGGTGGATTCCTCCTTCGAATTTCCAGCGCTTCCTTTATTTTCCTCTCCACCGGGTCACTTATGTTCCTGTAGATCACACGCACCTTTAGTTCAGGTGCAAAGCTCACCTACGTGTGGCGCGCAGGAAGGATGCCTCGAGGAAAGGGGTTGTCCGGATAGCTGGCTGGGATTTTTATTTTTTCCGAGAAAGCCCTTTAGATGTCCATCGAAACCTTTTGTAAATGTGCGTCGCCCGTTTCTAAGACAAGAAATTCCGACATGGAAGCATTACTTTTCCACTTCGTACACGGCCTGTTCTTAAAAGGCAAATTTTTCGTTTCCTCCTGGCAGTAAAGACAGTTTTCGCGGCCACATTGGTGGTCTTCGTATACTCGTGACGACGTAAGAAGACGACGTAGCGTTGGCGGCGGTCGAAATATCAAGCGGATCGGCATCCCCGAATTCCTTACAACTCGATTGACATCCTTCGCGAAGGAGTCTGAGAGAAAGGGAATTATTAGTGGGACGCCTCCTGGTACGGAGGAGGGAAAACTCACCCATGCGCGTATGCGGCGCGGTTTCTTCACGGCGCCGCGGCGGCAGGGCGGAGCGAAAGGCGATGGCCCGCGTCTCCGGCGCTGTGCTCCAATCCAGCAGCCTCTTCTTTATGTGGAAGGAAACGCGGCGGAGAAAAAGTAGAGAGAAGAAGGGAATTGAACAGATAGTGGGTCATATTTGACTTAGCGGTAGTGGTAAGAGATCACAGAAAAGTCGACTATCACGAATTACTCGTTCAATGGCAGACTGGCGGCATAGTTGCTCCTTCGATTTACTAAAAGCGACGCACGCGGCTCTTCACACAAAAAATTCAAGCCGCAAGGTTTGGGCATTTGCCTACAGTTGATTGTGACTTTATAAGCGCTATAGAACGGTCGTGCCGCATTCGGAGAGAATCCATTCGCCAATTTCCGCTATTTACTGAAATAAATACGCTTTGATTTCTCAGACTTTCTTCTGATTCTCTACTCACATTACCACTAATTTACAACTTATGAGTGTTTACTTATTTGTTCAATACCTTTTTCACTGCTCCTCCTTGCCATATAATAGGCGGCTTAAAAAGGGGCTTCTAATTGAAGCGCAGTGGCGGAGGCGTAAGCGATCACCCTTCGTCCGCCCGTCGCCGCGGTGCCGTGAAGAAACCGCGCCGCATACGCGTGGTTCTTGTACTACGGGAAGCCCCTCCTGGTACCTGATATGGGCGCCAACAATTTACGCGTCTGCTTCCATAGCCGTTTTCGAGAAGTATACGCGTCACGGTATCCATCACTACAGGAACATTTGTGGACGTCAACCTTCCGAGCTGTTGTCAAGGCATTCTGAACGATATTCCTCTTCATTAAAAGAGGGTGGCAGCTTCTCGAGTGGAATAGACGATTCTTGAAGCTCGGAAAGGTGACTCAGCAACTCAAGGTGGCGCGTGATCCACGAACATAATTGACCAGGGGAGAGAGGAAATGAAGGGAGCGCTGGAAATTCGAAGAAGGAATCTATCGATCAACAACAGGGAGGAGCTAAGAAGAACAATGGAAATAATTGCTGCACAATGATGTGGCATAATTGGTGATCGTGCATACACAAATAGTAATGTATCAACTTACTGCACCACTGCTTCACCAAACTAGCTGTGCCATTTTTAAAGGAAAGGACAGCTGGGGAGGTGAGTCATTGTTGCGTATTACTGTTTCTCACATCATCAGACCATCTTGCAGCATACTCCCGGATCCCCTCCCACCCAGACCCTCCGTCCCGTAGGAAGCCGGTCAGTTATTTGTTGATTGTTTCCCCTTTGAATTTCTTGCCTATGTTTGTAAAGTTAGATGATGTTGGTGTAGGCTTTGAATGTGATGATTGTAGACCTGAAGAAGGGCTTAAAGCCCGAAACGTCGTCTATGAAATAAACGACTGGGACGAGTTTCATTTCATCAATCACAAAGAAGACAGAAATGAATGACGCCTTCAAAATGTTCAAGCAGAGAATGGTTGTCACTATCGTAGCCATACCCTTCTGCTCCTCCCAGTGCCCCTTTTACAGCTATATCTGATATAGCTGTAAAAGGGACACTGGGAGAAGCAGAAGGGTATGGCATGATAAGGAAACTCTTTGATAGCCGACAGTTCCTACACAAGTAATGACCTTCCATGATAGCACTAGAATAAGCACTTACCGTAGGCATGTGCGTTGTCCATCGGGCATTTCGACGATCAGCTGAGCATTTCGGCCTTTTTCACGGTCATTGAATGGCCGCACACGCACGGCCACCACCACATTGTCGCCACCTTTACCGGTACCCATCCTGTCGTCTTCTCACTGAGATGACCGCTTACGTGAGGAAGAGAATACCCACAAAACTCAAAAGACAGTCCGATAGAGGAAAACAAGGGCAAAGATATTTCGAGGGGACTACATCGGTGGTGAGATAGACTCAGAGAGCACCCCCAGGATACG